AAAATCCGTGGAAAAATGAAATTTGTTAACAAAATCTTTGTTTAGCTAGTTAATAATATTTCTAAATTAAAGTCAATAGCCAGCCTACACTTTTGAAATCGAACTTCCATTTAATATTTAAAACTCTACGCTTATTCCAAATTATAAACTTTTTTTTCTGATGAAGCAATTACGGAAATTAAAATGTCTACTTTGGCAAGCAACTGTGTGGCACAATTTGTCTGGAAAACTTTTAAATTATTTCTTTTGTAATTGGAATGAAACCGAATTAGGTTCTTACGATTTATATTAAGAAAATAATATACACATATAGGAACAAGAAAATTAAATTACAAGGAAATAACAATAAATTGTATATAAGAAAACGAATGTTCAGTTCAGGTTAGGGTGCAAATATTAGTGCTTCCAGTCCGATCCATATCCACTTTCCAAGCCTCCTCCCAAACCATGTCCTCCGTAAGATAATCCTGATCCACCAGAGAAGTCATGTCCTCCGAAAGAAGACGAACCTCCAAAGGAAGATTCATGACCTCCACCATTAATGAAAACTGGAATGGTCTTCTTGACAATGTTCACTTCTGGAACAGGTACAGGCACAGGCTTTGGAACTGGAACTGGATAAGGTTTAGGCACCTTGACAGGAACAGGGTGTGGGACAGGTACTTTAACTGGATATTTCACTGGAACTGGTACATTCTTGTGGACAATGACAGGGTAAGGCTTGTCGACATGAACTGGGTATGGTTTTGGAACCCTGACAGGGTAAGGCTTATCAACTGGAACTGGTACAGGGTGTGGTATTGGAACAGGTATATTCTTAGTTACTTTTACAGGATATGGTTTTGGATAGGGTATTCCGATCTTTTTGGTGATGGTAATGTGCTTTTGTACAGAAGACCCCAAAGGAATTTTGCCTCCTGTTTCACCAAATCCAGCTGCAAGGCCATGACCAAAACCAGCTCCACCTTCTAAACCATGACCATAACTTCCACCTCCGATATCACCACCGAAATCATCACCAAACGAGCCATGGTCACCAGAAGTCTGTGATGCACCAAAGTCGTGCCCAGAGTCACCAAAATCGGAGCCAATGCCTTCACCAAAGACACCGCGTTTTGCGGTCTTCTTTTCGGCCTTTTCTTCAGCCNCTTGACGATGTTTTGAGGGCTATAACCTTAGGTTTCATGACCTTTAACCGTGGTCCTGCCTTGACCAGCAATGGTCGAGGGAATTTTAATTCAAATTAGTACCAATTTCCCAACCTTAGTCTCTGACATTATGTGAGCTTTGACGATTCCTCTCTCATGCTTTGATTTTGGATTTTGCGCTACATAACTTTTAATTGGCTTATAAGAATTAACTACATAATTTTTGCAGTATGTGAAACATTATATAACATATTTATATATTAAGGTGATTGATTGCAGAGTTGATGTTCTTTCTTGCACAAAAGTGGTATGGATTGTTCACGGAGAATTGCAATTACATTTGTGTAATTGCTAATTTATTTAAAGTTAAAATATTCTGTTCACCTTTAATTAAATACAATATTTACACAATGAAGTAAACTTTCTTACACGGAGATAAAAATCTTGCGAAAATTACCATGCTGTCTCATACTCTGAGTGTCTTGACTGATAATGGAAAACTAACCATGCTAGCACAGTAAAAATTGCTATGATTTCTAGTAAAGTTTATAAAAGTTCTCCTAATATTGTATTGTACTAATATTAAGTTTTTTAATATTTCTTGCATCCACTTTAAAGTGACGAGCATGGTAATTTTTCTAAGATTATTCTCCCCTTGTAGGGAAAGAGTAGGGAGTAGGGAATGAGTACCGAAAAAAGGAACAGTCGCGTTTGTTCATTAAATACAATACCTGTAATTGTATCCACTCTGTTAATTTCTCAAGGTATCTTACTTTCACATTCCAAATCGTTTCGGTAATTCTTTTCCATACTTTTCTATATCTACAATCGCTTTAGTTCTCCAAGACCGTGTTTAGTTAAATCTGGCTTCCTTATTATGCTTGTATTGACCTGTGAGGGCCGTATAAAATGCTGAAATTTCTAAGCTTTGGAGAAACAATAACAATTACGTATTTCTACGGTTACTTCCCGCGTAATTTATATTCCAGGAAAAGGCACGCCCGAAATTACTGTAATCAAGTTGAGGGTACATGCTTTTCTTTAATTTAAACTTTTTGCAGGTATTTTAAAGTTTGTTTCAGTGACAACAGTGTATTATGTAGATACCTTTTGTAGTTAACTGTTACGTCAAAAGGAAACCATTATTCGTATTTTTCACATTTCTCCTTATGGGCATCTAAAGTAATAGTACCTCAGTTACGACCGGTATGGAGTGAATATGCATTTGGATTATTATCTGTAGCATTCGATTCCCTTTGTGTTATTATTCTAATGAATATTAAATACGTATCGACATTGAACAAACATTGTACACAGTATTATGGAATCGTGAATAAAAATAGTTTTCATTAGAACGCAATAAACGTTATCGATCCTATTTTGTATCCGAAAAAATTCCCAATTCCTCTGCTTGCTCTATCTGTTTGAATGATGTTTTCGTTTCAAAAATGCATACTCCATACAAATTTGATTTAGATCTAATTATAGTCCTTGATAATTTTCCACAGAAGTCCTTAACGACTAAGAGCACGCGTATCTTATAGTGCTGACTTAGGCCATTAAGAATTTAACAAAAAAAAACAAAAATGAAGCTGACAGAAAAACCAACAAATTTGTTTTGATATTAAGTAACTTTTAATCGGTTAAGTCCATCAAACAAATTAAGTGATGAAATGCGAACAGCATCTTTCGGTATTAAGACTTAAAAATGCGCGATTATCCTGAAGTTTGACCTTCTGAGTCGACTCAGTGAACTTGGAGACGATTGGCACAATTCATTCGTTTTAATACATAGCTGTTCCTCTTGATATCCAGTACAATCTGTTCCCTCCGAAAGTTTCACCCTTGACCTAGTCTATCTCCCAAAATGCGCGAAATCGTGTTCAACAAATTTGGAACGAACTAATGAAGTTAATCACACATAACGATTTTGTCGAAAGTGGAATATATATATATACTTTTAATAAGTGTTCTTTATAATTAAAAAGTTGTAAAAGTTTTGATTCCCTCGTTATGAGGGAATTGATAATAACAAATAACGAAACTTATTCTACGACTGTTATAAACAGTAAGCACGTTGAAGATCAAGACTTGTTGATGTCTGAAAGCACATATAATGCATCGGCGTTTGTCTTACTTTTAATAGGATTTTTTGGATTTTCATTAAATCTAACTGTAATTCTTCTAATGTTCAGAGATAAACATGTAAGTTTTTATCTTCCTTACTTAATTTACGTGTGTTAGTACGCGACAAATACATATTTTGTCTTAAAAGATTAGGAAAAAAGTTCGTATTTTTGAAAATTTTATTTGTAAATCGTTTCTATCTGTACTGTATACAATGGTTCCTTTCTATTTCTAAAGCTCATAAAAGTAGTTCTGTTAACAAGTTCTCCTAATTAAGAAACTTTTGAATTAGTAAAAAGCTTTCCTTATTCCAAGCGCAAGTTTGCATTGTTTATCATCTTTCAGTCTACATCTTCTTCCCGAGTTCATACAACCGATTCCAATTTAATTTTCGCCACTGCGCTTGTTATGCAATGGAAAGCATAGGCTTCTCAAAATGATTATCACGGTGACACTTATAGATAGTTCTCTAAAAAAATATTGAATTTTGATTGCAATTTAATTTAATTAAAAACTTCTTCTAATGTAAAGTTAAAGCTTTTTTTCTATACAATTATTTCTTAATCGAGCTTGCAGATAAAGTAAGATATGCCGTTTGAAGAATCGAATACATTAATTAAAATTTTTATATATTTTACGTAGTGAACCACGAGTAAGGATTATAGGTATATCTTGAAGTATTCAAAAAAGTACTAAGTTTAGCTTTTGAATAATATTTTCTTTCAGAGTTCAATATGAGCCAAAAACAGCATCTATCAGTGCAGTTTCTTTATTAGTGTTTTAAATGAAGAAAAAATACGATTTCAGTAACTGAATTATATTTTTATCAAAAATTACGACTAGTTTGTTCAATTACTTTTGGTATTCCCATTATAGGGTGCCATATAGATAATTTCATTTTGCTCATAATTAATATTTAAATAATACCTATTCATCGCAATTCGTACATTATGTCCTTTTTTGTCGTTGAAGAGTCGTTGTGCATTTCATTGTTACAATAATTCAATTCAATTTTATCTGCCTATTTTGCATTAAATTACGGCCTTGTAATTTCACGGTTGACAGTACATATATATTATATTAACACGCATGGAACAATAATTTCCATTTTATGGTAAATGATAATAACCGCTTGTATCAGGTACTTAAACACCTACACACATGGCTATTTGTTATACATTTTTGAAATTACATTTAGTAAAGGATTTTGTGATCATTTGACATTATTTTGAACCAAACTGTGTCTATTATTTTACAAACGGAAGATTGATTAAACTCGAAATTTCTTTTTATACAGATACATATATTTTAACGTTTAATTACTATAATTGCTTATCGTAATTAAAAGTTTGAGCGAACCTCTTCTTGATGAATCTTAATTACCTATAAACAAACACAATAGTTTTTTGTATGGTTCAAAACATCGGATCTTTTATTTAATCTTTCCAGTAGAATGGTAAATACAATTCCATAATGGAAAGATGAATTTGATAAGTCCTCTCGTAGGAGATATTAAAATTTACTTTTCTGCATTCGAACAAAAGCGCGAGAATAAAAAATTGTTTGTTGAGCAGAGTCCTGGGGGTTGTCATTTGTTAGCTCCAAGAATAGAATGGGAAGGAATAAGTAAGATAATTGTCTGTTTGGGGTAAATATAAATTAATAAGACAAGTGCCTCCATTTTTATGTGGTAATATTGCTTGGAATTTGTAAGTTACAAAAAGTAGGTTATCACTAAGATCACTGATCCATTATTTTCATTATGATTATCATTTTTAATTAAAAGTGTCCTTTCTAATAAATTAATGGATTTGATAGTTATTGAGAAATGACTAAAGGTCGACTTTTAACGTCAAGTGTAGCTTTTTTCGTTTCATGTTTGACACAAATTGGATCTCCGTTGAATAAACCCTTACAATCATATTAAGTAGTTGAGCAATCTGTAAATATTTAATGTATATGTTGAAATAAATTGAATGTTCCTTAACAACATTTTGCTTTTTCTAATTACGTGAATCGCATCTGATACAATTACATTCTTGTGAAATCCTTGGTATTAGTAGATATTTGATGTTTTTTATTTAATTCGTTTCTGTTTATCTCAAAAATTGATACAAAGGAACTGAAATCGTTTTAAAATAAAATATTTATATTGTTTCAGTTATGGACTCCCCTGAATGTAATTTTGTTCAACTTGGTATTCGGAGACTTTTTGGTATCAATTTTAGGANCTAAGAAATTGAAGTTTCTCGGACTTCATTTACTCTTTTTAATTGATATTCTTACTTACCAGTTCATTGTCATAAATCTTTCCTTTAGGAATGGCACAACCACCTCCATTTTCAATGAAAAAAGGCATTTCATGCTTTCTACAGCACCATATTTACAGCTATGCTCTGGAGCGAATCAATCACTGCTTTAATGCCATCCAGAGTTTTTATAATGTTCCTGTAAAATGAAATCTTGTCAAACAGTATTCAGATATAATACATTTAATCTCCGTGGTTAATAACGTTAATAATACAATGTCAAAGTTAATATCGAATAAATATAATATATTATATAAACATATACAGATACAATTACAGTATGTAGCTCACCTTAATTAACTACAACTCCTCCACGATGAAAAGTTAACAGCTTCAACACCGTAGTAGACGTTTTTTTCAATAGCATCAAAATGAATTCTTCGACTATTATTTATCGTCAATCTGTAAAAATGGAAAAGAAAAACAAATAAATTACACTATTAAATAATTAAAACACTGATAGACTATCCCCGGCCACATTTACCAGCCCTAAAAAGTGCCAAAGCGAACTACACTAAAAATTTCTAAATTATTCCAAACGAAGTTGGGTAAATACCTATTTGTAACGAAACGAAAGAAATAAAGTAATTTTGAAAATGTTTTGTGTTATTATTATTAGTGTTAGAAACACCCAATTAATTTACTAAATTTTGTGACATACAGTTAGTTACCTAAGTTTTGTTTGCTTCGTATCTCCTAATGATCAGTCTAGAAGAGCATTAAATGTCATGTAGGCACTTATTTTTTTTACGTACGTATGTAACTGGAGAAAATAATATTGAGGTTTCAAAATTTCTGAAATACAATATTAAAAATTTTGTCTTACATGTATTTGTTCGTGTCA